TAACACACCTGCTCCTCCTTCACACCTGAGACCTTGTACCACTAACGAGTCACATGACACCAGGGAGGGAAGACGGCTACTTGGGCCCCATTTGGCCATTATCACTTAGGGGTGTACTCACTTTTGTTGCCAGCAGTTTAGACATTAATGGCTGTGTGTTGCGTTATTTTGAGGGGACAGCACATTTACACTGTTATACAAGCTGTAGACTCACTACTTTACATTGTAGCCAAGTGTCATTTCGTCAGTGTTGTCACATGAAAAGATATACTTAAATATTTACAAGATGTGAGGGGGTGTACTCACTTCTGTGGTATACTGTACCTGCAGTATAAATTGAAGTACAATACTTTACACGCTGCCTGTGGATTTCCCACTGAGGATTAGTGGTCTTATATTTTAATTTTTCATTCATCTGGTTCTGAAAATTAACTAGCAACTATAGTTATAAAAACTGCAGTGAAGTAAAAAGTACAATATTTGCCTTGTCTAGTTTATGAAGTAGCAGAAAATGGAAATAAGTACAGATACCTCAAAACCTTAGAGTAAACGCGGGTGACTTCCACCACTTCAAAAAACTAAAAGCAGCACCTTCACTTAAAACACTTGACCTCAGGTAAATACTTGTGTATCTCTCCACCACTACTATTTCTATAGAAATTACTGGAATATGACATAGTGGCCTTATAGTCAGTTCGTGTCGTGCTCCTACAGTCTTGTTATTGTATTGTTATTGTAGTCTACCCTGTGTGCTACTGTAAATGTGTCAATCCGCATCCACGTTGGAAACGAGTCCGTCCAATGAGGAGAGCAGGGGGCGTTTCCATCGGCTTCATTGCTCATAGCTTCGTGAACCACAACAAGTCGGCGCGATACAACGAATGGCAAAACGGTCCTACTAAAACACAACACAGGTAAGACGTTAGCTAACAAAATACTAGCAATACTCTAGCTTAAAGTGTTCGGGGTATTGAATGGGCGTGGCTTCGGACTGGTTTTCAGAGCAGCCGTCTCTTTGAGCGATGTGTTTATTAAATGTCAGATTAACGTGCTGACATGAAATAACGTTTAGCCGAATATGTTGCAAAAGTCATTTAAGTCAGACTCCGTTAATGGCGTTTGCCGGTAAGAACGAAGCGGATATAAGCGTTTTCCTCCGACCAGTACGTAGTGCTCTTGTCTCCCAGCATGGCGGCCTAGGCCGTAGAGACACCACCAGACATCCTGAACGGTGTCTCTGTGCCACAGCCTGTGGTTTGACTGTGGCATTTATTATTATTTTCAGTATGTTTTCCCGTGTTTACACGGTGTTAGCAATTATCAACAACACAAACTTTGGCCTATCAAGACAGCGGTAAGAGGCATGCCTACTATTAAGATCCTTTATTTAGCTTGACGTGAGTCTACTGTACCAAGATCGTGGTATTGCATGGGGAATAGTGTCCATGCTAGGGCACCACGCAGGAAGGGACGACTCTCCAAAACACATCACTGCATGCTTCAAGTGAACCGTGACGCTCCACAACACTACTGGGATAATGTTTTGTAGACTGATGAAACACATACCAACATAAAAACATCATTCCAAAGGAGAAGTGGGGTGGAAGAAGCATGACCTGCAGCTGCTTTGCTGCCTCTGGGCCTGGGCATCTTTGAGGCAAGGTTGAATTCCCCAGTAGAAAAGAAATTGTATGAGAATTTTATATTACAATTATAGTGACCAAAATGATCACAGTTATCAATATTATCATGGTATTGTGAAATTGTTCAGAAAAGACACATGAACTGAAATATTTAATTTTTGGTATTTTATTGAAAACCACAAATCACATTAGCAGCATTACTGGGTTTACCTGCTTCATGCCCACTCTGTAAACAAGGGAATAGAAAATGCATCATCGTCATCATCATCATCATCATCATCATCATCATCATCATCATTATTATTATTATTATTCACACACACACAGTGTCAAAAGATTTTTTTAAGGTAACTACACAAGTGTATTGAAAGAACTCAAAAAATCTGTCTTATACAACTTTCAAAAATTAACAGACAATTCGTAAGAAACAAGAAAAAACTCATTAAACAGAGGTCACAGTCCAGCGTCACACTTAAAGTCCCAGCTGAAATATTTTTGAATTATTATGCACCAGTTGAAATTTTTCCTACTGTGAAATGTTTCCTGGAATCCATCCAGGTCTATTTTCACATTCAAATGGCTGTGCGGTCATGCCCTACTGGATCTACAGTGTAGGGCAGTAGCCTGCCTCTCTATTCATGCTGTATTTTGTGTTGTTGTATACAGACAACTGCAGCTATGGGCAAGTCCCAGTCACACTTGGCCAAGCACAGAGACGAGAGTCAAGATGTGCTGACGGCTGCTGGAGAGTACAGAAACAGTCAGACAGAAGAGGATGGAAAGAATGGCGATGTTTCTCAGTTCCCTTATGTGGAATTCACTGGACGTGACAGTGTGACGTGCCCCACATGTCAGGGCACCGGCAGAATCCCACGAGGTAAAATGTTCTGGATATTAGTTATTACCCAGCGAAGAGCCCCTGAAGACTTTCCCTATAACATAAAATAGTTGTGATTAAATAAACTAAAAATATTTTTTTTTTCTTAAAAGTTCAATAGTTAAAAACTTTGCTAATTTCCTTCATCAGGACTGTGTGTGGCAATTTAAGCAAACAGCACAACTTTCTATACATATAGATGTAAATGCTGCTAAACTCTGATTGGTACAAAAAACACAACTTAGATTTGTGAGAAAAGCAAGGACAAAAACAAACAAATCTCTTATGTGAAATAACCAAAAATATTCAAACTTTGACAGAAAATTGACTGTCTATAAAAATGAACAACATGCCACCTCTTCCTGCCACTATGCAAACAGGAAGCCAAAATATTGTGAACACGGGGGCAGCCATCTTGCTTTTGTGACACATTTTGCAATCAGTTTCTGTGTAGTAGCTAGCAAAGGTGGAGCGGCCGCCAATCAAAGCTGTGAAATCATCTAAACACCCTTTTTTATATCCTGAAATTATTAAAGCAAACATTTAAATCAAGACCTCTTGTACACAAGTTGGCAAGTGGGCCAGGCACCTACATGTGCTGGTGGCTTGATGTAATATTGAGACACACTTACACAACTGTATCCACAGATCCTGTAATATGATGATAGGAATCTACAAGATCAATCTATAAAGATTACAGTCTATTACTTATTTGGTTGTTTGTATTGTTGGATAAAGAATAAACCAGTCACTGTTAATATATCTAATTTATAATGGGGAAAACTCAGCTTGTTCAGGACTGGGTTCCACAGCAGAGTTGCATAATGCAAACCTCAGAACATAATCTTTCCTCAGTGCAACAGTAAAATGATACAGCTTTCCTTCTACACCAGGTCAAGAGAATCAGCTCGTGGCCCTGATCCCATACAGCGACCAAAGGCTCAGGCCAAGCAGGACGTGAGTCAGCACACAGCTCTTTTTTTATACATGATGGAAAACCGAGTTGGCTGTTTTATGAAGAAACTATAGCATGGCAGATTTTGAACTTATCAGCAAAAAAAATTTCCCTCTCTTGCAGAAAGCTGTATGTCACCATATCTGTTGTCCTTTGCCTGCTGCTGTGTGGCCTGGCCGTTTTCTTCCTATTCCCTCGCTCCATTGATCTCTCCTATGTGGGAGTGAAGTCGGCCTATGTCTCCTATGACCAGGAAAAACGAATTGTCTATCTAAACATTACAGTAAGATTATGTAGCTATGCTTCTCTCAAACTGCAGGAGAATGTCAAAATTTTAACCTTTTAACCTCTCCCATCCAGAGCACTCTGAACATCACCAATAACAACTACTACACCATATCTGTGACCAACATCACAGCGCAAGTGCAGTACTCTAAGACGGTGATAGGCAAGGCCAAGTTTAACAACAGCACAGTGATCCTTATGCTGGATGAACAGCAGGTAGGTCCAAGTACTTCTTGCTGTACACAAAGAAAAACTACACAGAGATTTGGCAGTTCTAAATTCATGTCTGGTAAGAAAATAACTTCCAGTGTTTCCCATACATTGATTTATTCGTGTGAGTTGCCATAATATCAACATTGACCACCACATATTGATTTAAAATAGGATCAATCTTATTTCAATGTAGCACTGTGCGTAGCGCATGTAGCCCCTCCGTGCCCCGCTCTATTTCTCTCTCACACACGACAACCATGACAATGAACTGTTTGTGAACAGTTCCTCCTCTCTGTGTCTGTTATTTAACACAACGCTGTCAATCACGGAGATCAACTCTTCTAATATGTTATTAGCAACTTAGTAAGAATACAGCTAATTTCAGAATATAGCTGTTGACAAGGTCAGCACGCTGTATATAGCATGTATATGAACTGTTCTGCAAATGGATAAAGTTGATGCCATTTCATAAACTCTGACACTGAATGTTTGGCCCTCAGTCCAGGAAAATATACAAAAACAAGTGGGAAAGCTGATCAGTCCAACCAGTGTGATTACTGATCCGACTGATTCATTTCAAATATTTATTGGTTTCTACCACTGCTGCTGAAGCAGCAACGCAGGGTCAGGAAGAGAGAGAGCTGAAGAGAGAGGCAGGAGGAGGGCAGCAGCCAACATGCTGCTTCTTTGGGAGAGCTAGTGCAGAAGGGACATGTCAGATTACAGTACTTTCCGGACTATAAGCCGCTACTTTTTTCGCTTCGTGCACACACCCTCATCATGGACAACACACGACGAAATGCATATGATGCAGCTTTCAAGTTACAGGCGATCGATCTGGCTGTCGAAATATCATGTTAGAACGTGGACACGGCTATGTACAACGTTTGGTCGTCTTAAATTTAGTGGGTGCGGCTTATAGTCCGGAAATTATGGTAACAGCACTGTAGCATTACTATATAATTTTTTTTTTTTAATGGAAGAATGTCATTCTATGGGAAACGGTGAATTAATTTTTCTAGGCAAGACGGTGTAGAATGCACTGAACCTCTGGTCCACTTTCATTGTAACTGCTGAAAAATGATACTTGTACTTCTGCCAAATTCACACTTCAAACCAATGTTTTAAGCCCCAATAAAGCCTCATTGTCTTTAAGTCTTGTGATATTGTAAACCTTGGTACTACTTTGCACTACTGACCATTGATTAAACAGAATTTAGGGCAAACATATCAAAGTACATTAGGATCTAGGGCTGCATGATTAATCATTTTGTGAGCATGATTTAGTTTCTTGTGTGATCTCAGCCTCCCATGACAATGATTCTCCAATTTTTGCATTAGCAGGGAGATGCCTTGCAACAAACCGAGCACTCCCCTCACTAGGCTGCGTTCACTCATAGCAGGAATAGTAGGAATGTGTTACATCTCATGATGAGTTTTAGACTGACTCAAAAACTAATCCAACATATTTGACATTGTGAAAGATATTCTGTGCCCTCCTGCAACTATTTTTTAAAGGTTGCCCTGCCTGCCCTGTGCACCTAGTTCTGAATAGCAGTTGAAGTGGAAATGAATCACTTTGTGGTTATTAGTTCCAGTTACTGGTTAACGCAGCATAGCGAGGAAAAGGGAGCGCTTGGTTTGATGCAAGGGATCTCACTCAGCATTATTGTCATGAGAGACTGAAATCGCACAGAGATCTAAATCACACTCACAAAATGATTAATCATGCAGCCCTATTAGGTTCCATTTAATTAGCAGTAATGTGTAATATGTTCATGTCTAATATTGTTTGTTTATTGCAGATTGACTACACAGTTCCCACCATCATTGCAGATGAGATAAATTATATGTTGTAAGTGCCTTACAAAATATCCTGCAAATTGTACTCTCTACAGGTCATCTCTTTTTAATCTTCAGTTTCTTGTTTTCTTGCAGCGACTACTGCACCTTGCCAACAATAAAAGTTCACAACATAGTGGTCATAGTGCAGTAAGTATGGCTTATCCTGTAAGTTGTCATAAGAGACATGGCTGAGCTTCTCAACATCTTTGCTTCAACATCTGCAAACACATACTGAAGAGCTGCCAGGAAAAAAGAAAAACATCCTTCTGCTGTGGACTACTTACTGTTCATATTTGATGCTGACTTAAAAGCAGACCTTAAATTTAGCAATGCAAACATTTCTCTGGGCAGAAACAAGTTTATTAGCTGACTTAATCCTCTGCCATAAAAGCCAAATAACAGCTTTCTAGCCAATTATCATTAGACTAGATTTTAGTGGAAATGGGTAATAACCTAAAGTCTACTGTTGTAATAGAACATTTTACATCTGGATTGGAATGCCCTAAAGGCCACGTGTGAGTGTACCTGTGAGTACTTGTGTGTTACAAGCTTCAGTTGGATGCTTTTAACAGACAGACAGTGTGTTTATTCTATAAAAAGGGTGACAGAAATTGATGACAGGACTTTATTTTACAAATAAACCCAGGCTGTCTAGATATTTTGGAAGGATGAGAAAAACAGCAAAAGACCATTATTTCTACCATTGATTATAGACAAAACAAATAATTGATTAAAGTGCCAGAAGAATAGTGAAAAAATGTCTGTTATAATTTCCCACAGTCAAAGGTCTTCAAATGTTTTGGCCCACCAGCAGTCTAAACCCAAAGACCAAGGTCATGATTTCACAATGATATCACAAATTAATGTGAAAAAGCTAATATAATTTTATATATTTATTCACAGTCACCACCGGTGCTTCCTGGGATCTACATATTTAGATTTAAATCCAAAGGTTCTGCCCCACAGAAATATTTCTCATCTACTGAAATTAATTAAGCTGTTAAGGAGCAGCAGTTTCTCATCCACTTTTCCCACCCACACTGCCCACACCAGCCTGAACAATTCATCTCTTCTCACCTTCATGTCTGATGCGTGGTCGCTGATTCTGGTTATTTTTTTAGGGTGACGGTGACAACAACATACTTTGGCCATGCGGAGCAGGTCTCCCAGGAAATGTACCAGTATGTGGACTGTGGAGGAAACACCACCACCATGCACGGGCATGTGCAGGTCTACCAATAAGGCGAGCAAGTGAGCCTGGGCATTGGATCCAGCTGTAACCGAGGTTCTCACAGAGGTTGACTGGGCTGATGTGCACATAGGAAATCTTTGACGTTGGAATAATGGACAGGGATATCTCATTTCTTAAGTCAATCACACTGGCTCATCCATTCCTAAATACCCAACCACTTTCTTCCTTTTACATTACAAATGTTATATTTAGGATGAATATTTTGCTATAAAACCTCTGCTTATGGTGGGTTACTTGTCAAACAGGCTGATAAAAGCAGACAAACTTACCTGCTACAGTCAGAATTTTGCAGGATTTGCCTCAAGGATTGTGGTCATTGTTGACCCTGGTGCCAACAAAATAGATAGATACAACTTAATTCACATTCTGAAAGCCATTCTCATCATGTGTATACTCTTCAGCAATTAAATTAATGAAAGCAATAGTTTCAGATACAGTGCACTTTAGTCTGATCCTTAAATTAATAAGTATGCTGTACGAGTACAGTGGGAATGGTGCAACTGCTACTGCCCCTACTATCCTACACCGCTTTTAAATACGTTTAATAAAAACACATTAACTAGGCTGTGACAGGTGCATGATTTTTTGACAGTAAAAACCACTGAGCAGTTTCTAACCACTTCTCATCCCCACCCTTTTCATTTCTTTGTAATTGGTTTCTTGAAATATAATTCTTGATATTGAGAGGTAGTGTAAAATGGATGCTGTCTTATGTCATTTTTTTGGAGAGGTTTTGTTTGCTTGTTTTTTTGCTCCAAGTTCTTTATTTTCTGAGAAAAGGTTCTATACAACTTGGGTGACTTAAAAGTAAGTATGAAGACAATTACATCAACATTTTATAAAAAAAACAAATTGAATCAATTTTTGGCATAACAAACAAATACTGTGAAAAACAGTGTTTAAGTTTAAAATATGTACTTTCTTTCTGATTTGTTTCATCACACCTGTCAAGAATGAGGACTTGTTTGTAACTTTTTTTCCTTATAATGTTGTCCTATTTTTGTGAGCTCTGATGTCATTGCTATTTTAATCCACTCTGCATCTTGAACTTGTATTATAAGTTGTCTTGAAAGTATGATGTCCTTTTGTCACTTTTACTGCATAGTGTCATTTTGGATTGGCAACTGACCAGATGTGTCTTCTTGAATGCTTGAACACAACATGGGCTGTATAAGGTTGAATTGCTTTTGTCTGCCTATAATACATAAATGCCCAACTTTTATTTAAAGTTCAGTTCTGATCAAAGGCTTTCTTTTGTGATCACGCAGGGAAGATATTTTTCTGACATTTTGTACTATTACTACACAGTCATCATTAAAAAAAGTGTAATCTGTGATTCAGCCCTTCTTGATATTTGATGACAATGTAGATATGAATACCGTTCTGTTACTACCTAACATCTACACATTTACACAGTGGTTTTGTGTTTTTCATGCATGAATCTAAAAATAAAATGACTCATTTTGAAGGTTTTCCCCCCATTGATGTCCTTGTAATAATGTCTGTACACACTGGGTGGTGCTAAACTACAGTATCTCACAGCTCTGCTGACCATCTCAAAACTGTTAGTGAACAATTTATTTCACTCCTGCCTAAGTACATTCATATATAGTTTTATATTAATGTGGTAATTAAAATAATGCTTCGCTGAAGTCGGACATATACCTCCAAAAATCAAACTGTTATTAGGGCACAACATAGTTTAGTCTATAAAATATCCAAAAATTGTAAAAAAAAAAAATCTATTGTGGTTTCCCAGAGCCCAAAATAACATCTTTAAATGTTTTGTTTATGCTTTTTGCACTGACCTATAAATTGTTTCAACTCTAGATTATTGCCCCCAAGTGCAGCCAAATGTTTTTACAACTGTAATGGTGAAATCAGTAGAACGTCACATTTTAGGCAGACTTAACAAACGAGATACCGACAAGTCTTTCTTTTCTTAGAGCCTTGCCGGTAGGAGCACTAAAATGGAAATTTGTCTTAAGGGTGGTACATGGGAAATAGTGACTGTGCAGCCAGTTATTGTCGAGGTAGGTGGCTCTGAAACAATCTACTGAATAAATGGCAAGACCAGCTCAATGACCAACATCAACATCCACTGGTTCCATCACACACACACACACACACAAAAAAAACACCGCTCTCCAATGCAAAATAATATATATGTGGTCCAACAAATAACCACAAAGCCAGAACAAACAAAACTATCTGATTAGACTTTTTGGTCTGGTTATATTTATAAGACTACAGTTTGTTTCATATTGTTAAATATCACTAACAAAGTTTCCATCCATATGTAAAAATTATGCAACGATAACATTTTGTTCCCAGAATCTTATTTTTCTGTTGATTACCTGCAATACCTTGTCCTGGTTGTACTGTACTGTATGTCACTGTGCTACTCAGTACAGGCTCCTTGTTGGGGCTAGAAACACACACTGTCTCCTGTGTATCACGGTATGTTCACATCTGTTGCATTCGTTAAAGACCCAGTTCATTTCCTGACTGAGATCCAGGTCAGTGGTTTGGACCAGAGCTACACTAGAATACGTGTCCTAACAGTAAAAGTACAACACAAACAGTTAAGTATGTGTTCCCTTAGTTTGAGCCATTCTGCTTGCACAATTTGAATAAGGTGCATATACTGTATATTGGTTAAAATGTAAGTAAGTGACACAATATGCTGTACACTGACAGTGCATTCATTTTAAACTATTTTAAATTTGTAGGGTACCATTGTTATATTTGACATAATTTCATTTTGTTCTGGATTGTTACAAGACTTATTCTGCCTCCACACTTTTTAACTTAGGCATCCTCATACAACATGCTTAATCTAAAACCCAAAAATTGGCTGATGTGGCATAACCAGTGTGAGAATTAAAATTTCTAGTATTTGTCATTTATGTATGTATCTTCCAAAATTCTGACTGTCATTAACATTCAGTTATTTTCTTGTGTCATTTGCTTTTAGACAATTTATCACACAGCTGTTATTTCTACCTTTGATACCAAAATCATTTATAACTAACCTCTGATGACCATCATTACGGTGTTTTCCTGCCCTTCACTACATACTAGATGTTAAATCCCAACCCCAGCTAATAATAAATGCTTCAAGTACAGTACATTAATGAGCATATGTTTTAGTCAAATAATTGTGTCTATAATTCACCACCACCCAGTCTAAAGTTCACCATTTGTTTGGCTCTACACTAGAAGTCACAAAACTGGATTATCTCAGTCTAAGCTGTCCAGACAATGAGAACCACTTTCAAAGCTTTGTCTTTCTGCCACGACTGGACTCACCAATGTACAACACACCGGCTCTGGAATCGGTGTTTGCTGTTGCAGTCGGCGCCAGAGATGAACTGTCTGATTTTTATTTCAGACACAGGGGCCACAATGAATGAGCAGCAGAGATGATTTAAAGTCTTGTTTATTGGTTCTTAGTTGAAACTGAATCTGCCACCTCAGAGTTTCAGGTTGAATTTGTTTGCAAACATACAGAGGTTAGTATTTGTGCCTGAACAGTTACAGACTACTTCCTTTCATGGAAAAATGACTTGAGTACCTTTTGGAGCAAAAGCAAACAAAACTCTATGGACTACTACTACTTTACTTTTAGCTCTCAGTCAGCAGGTTTAACTGTACAGAGGCCCGGCAGAGAAGCCAGCCACATCCGTTACTAATTCAGTTGTGTTATTGCCATTACAGCAGACCTTCCCCTCACCCCATAGTTCATTTAGACCCAGCACTTCCTCTCACCAGGTAAAAGGAAATGGCTTTTCCACATGTGCTCTATATGAACTCACATCTTAAAACAGGTCTTGCTTTCTGAAAATAATAAGATATATGGCTCCACAATTAAGCTGTTTCCTGTCTGTGACACTGAACTGGCTGTGGTTTCACCCTTCTTTTATGGAGCAGACACACACTACAGAACATACATTATGAACAACTAAACCTTCTGACAGTCACCCATCCATCCATTATTTACACAGCTTATCAAGGTCACCGATCCCAGTACAGCATGGACAGGTCACCAGTCTATCACTGCAATTCAGAGTAACAAGCATAAATCAAATCCATATTTTGTGTGACCACCTACTGCAACAGTTCACCTTTTAACACCTGCACACACTTTTTCCAGCATCTTGGGGAACCTACCACAGTTCTTCTGTGGATTTAGGCTGCAAGTAGGTTGTTCCAGCATCTTGGGGAACCTACAACAGTTCTTCTGTGGATTTAGGCTGCCTCTCAGTGTCTTCTGTCTCTTCATGTGATCCCAGACTGACTCCATGATGTTTAGATCAGGGCTCTGTGGAGGCCAGACCATCTCGCGCAGGGCAACTGGTTATTCTGGTTGCCTATGACAGCTCTTAATCACTCTGGCTGGATGTTTTGACTGGTCATGCTGCAGAAAAAAAATACTGGACAGATCAGATGTCTCACTGAAGGCATTTAAGGATGGATAAGAACACTGATGGATTACTGAGTAGGTCTACTGGGCACAGGCCCAGGGCCACATAGGTTTACTGGGCCAGAGCATCTGTTTGACATGACTGTTTAGTGTTGGGAAGTCAATCAAAACAACCGCAAAGATTACAAAACTACTACAAAGCAAAAAAAAAAGAGGCACAAACAAAGAAATTGAAACAAACAAAAAACTAATAAGTGACATCACGTTTGTTGTCTTCAAAACTTTGGGATCTCCACTATAATTTAAAATAAGTTCTGTGAGTGTTGAGGTTTGGCTGCACAGCAGGAGCTTGTACTGACTGACCAGCTTTTCATTTAGGATAATTACTAGTGATGTGACGTTCCGTATCGAGGCTTCGAAGCGTGTGCCGAGTAGGGGAGGGGGCGTTTCCGCGATGCGCGTATCGAGGCTTGCGTCATTCAGGTGAGGAGCTGAAGCCGTCCGAAGCCTCGCTGCCCGGCTGTACCACGTGACTGATTCAGGAAGTGGTTCGGATTTTGCCGCGAGTTTTGACAGCGATATAAACCCCTCAGTCTCCATTCAAAATGTGGGTGTTTGATGGAGAAAAAGAAATCGCCTAAGACCTGCCCCAGTGGAGAAACTGTTGTTTTTAAATAAAAACCAATGATGTGTCCCCTAAACCATAATTACTGGCCATACCTCAACATTACAAAAGCACAATCATTGTCCATACCCCAACCCCAACCACCCTCACCTCACTGTAAATAATCATTTCCATTTTCATCATTTCCAAATAATCATTTTCCATACTGCCAGTATATATGTATATACACAGTATACTGCCATCACTACAATATACATGTTTTGCATACTTCTTTATTTTGCTGACAGTTTTATTCACAGGCTTTCTGCAAAATGCCACACACTTCAAATTCATGCCAACTGATATTGTTGCATCCAGTAGATGTCCTACTAGAGCAAATGAAGCTTCAAGAAGCTTTGCGCTGGAGTGAACCAATTGGGTGAAAAGCTTCATTGCTTCATGAAGCTTCATCTGCCCATCACTAATAATTACACAGCTGCTTGTTGGCTCCCAGTGGACAACCCTGGATTGTCTTTGCAGCATTTTTTGCTTTATTTCTTAGGTCAATGCCCCTATTCTGGATGAAGAAAGAGAAGAAACTGTTCTAACTAGCTAGCTTAGCTAGCCAGGGTATAGCGTTGCTAGCGTTAGCATATCGTATAGCCTAACATTTTTAGTTAACTTTGCTAGTTAGTGTTAAAAAGTTACCGCTGTTACTCTATGAAAAGTGTTTTAAGAAAAGTCGCCATATTATCTATATATCCAAATATTAGCTCCCTGTGAGTTAGCTAGCTGCCTGTGGCCAGTTTGTAAACTTACCTCACCTGAGCCAGCCCCCCACACCAAGACACTCCCCCGGTTCTAACTTCCACCGTGTCCAACAGCGGGGGCGGCGTGGTGAAGTCTGGGTACTTTGTAAGAACCTCATCCGTCTGTGTCTGTCTACACAATGACCATGGGCTCTGTGGGTCTCGGCTCAGCGGTTCTCTTTCTTGCCTCTTTTGTCGCGCTTCTTTGCGTTTGCTCCGCGAGTTCGGACGCGCCTCGGGGCGTCGCGGTCGGGTTCGTGTTCGACCCCAGAGCGAAGTGTGACCCTCCGTGCAAACACGCAGGAATCTGCATCCGCAACAACACATGCTTCTGCTCCAAAGGCTATGAAGGAGAGACCTGCCAGTATGGTGATGTTACAAATCTTTTGCCTATGTTTAATTTGTTTGTTAATCAAGAGCCAGCCTTTGTATTTGTGTATAGTCATCTTCCTGTAGAAGAACCACTGCTTATAGAAATATAGATGGGTGACAAGTTAAAGGATCAACTCCACTTTTTAGTGAAGTGTCTCCAGAGCAGCTTCAGTGCTGTTGGAGTGACAAAACCCCTTTCTTCCAAATCAGATTGCCTCATTAAGCTCAACACACTTTGTCATAGCCTTTCAGTAACCTAGAGCTGCAGGCATCAGTCAGTGAACTGATATATCTGACATCAATAATCTTAAAATAAAGATTACCAAAATGCTGTGTGTTTTTGATTAAATACAGCCACCTGTTATCCCAAGTGTAAGAATGGAGGAGAGTGTCTTCGCCCTGGAAAATGCAGGTGTGCTCCTGGATTTGGAGGAAGATACTGTCACAAAGGTAACCGGATTTATGCGCCATGAATTGGAAATTAAATGGTGTTAGGCATGTATTCTAACCCTATTCCATACTGACGTTATGTATCTGGTATTTTTCTGAACTGTATCCATGCATTCCAGCCCACGTGTGTCCCTCTTTTACCAGACATACAGCAGAAAGACAGACAGTCAGCATTGTTCCCAGGAACAAAACTGCTCAAAGTGCAGCAGTAGTTTAGTGAGCTTGCAGCAAAAAAGATGAGTCAGTCATGTTTTTTGACAAGAGGTCAAAATTCCAGCAACCTGTACAACAAAGAACAACTTTTATGTGTGAGAAATAAGCTGGATCAAAACTAAATTAATGGGTTATGTGTTTCTCCAATTAGAATTACACGGCTATATGTTCAGCATTTAGAACAGTGTTTCTCAACCTTAGGGTCGAGACTCCTACAACCTATATCTGAAGAGTTGCAAGACAACGACTTAGACAGGAACCAAGAAGTAAAACACACAAAATGATTGTTTGTAATATTTGCCTTTATATAGGGGTACATAATATGTAACTGAAGTTGAGGGATCATAATTGATGTATCCAGCCCTAAAGGTTGGGAAGTACTGGCTCATGCAATCATACAGAGTGATAACATTACAGAGAATGTTATTAAATCATTAAATTGAGTATTTTGGTGTTTAGTCAAAATTATATACAGGAGGACTCACCTTAAAGAATTAGGAATGAAGGCTGAGTTAAATATTTCCAATTCTATACTGCCAACAATAATTAAAGATAGATAAAACTATCTCATCTAACATCGCAGAGGTGATTTGTATCTGTTTCTTGCAGTGACATGTGATGGAGGATGTTGGAACGGAGGGGAATGCATCGCTGTCAATGGAGTGGTCAAGTGCATCTGCCCCTCAAGCTGGACTGGCTCAAAATGCCAGGAGGGTATGTTTAAAGTCATGTCCGATTACCCTATTAACACCATAGGTCAAAGTCACCAAATGGGAGTCTCAGCTGGAGGTAGCTGCAGCTAGTCATCAGCAGCAGCCGACACACTGAGCCCATGGTCGGCTGTTGGCCACCGCCGGGGACCAGCGGTGGCTTTTTGGCCGATTTGACATCAGCGGTTAGGCCTTGTCATTGAGAGAGATGGCACTCTGATTGGCTGTTGATCTGAGCAAATCAATGCAGGAGAACGTTTCAGGAAAGCCTCCTTAGCCTGTTGCTGTAATATCCATTATTTCACACATTTTCTGATTTCTACTTGTTTTTCACCTTCAGCTATAAACAGCAGCTGTTTGGAATGAGAGGTGTTTTGTTTATAACTTATACTTCTGCAGTCTTGTGGAGCAGTGGTTAATACTGCTGCCTCACACCAAGAAAGTTCCAGGTTCGAACTCGGTGCCTTTCTGTGTGGAGTTTGCATGCATGGGTTCTCTTCAGGTATTCCGGCTTCTTCTTAAAGACATGCAGCTAGTTAAGATAATTGGCGACCTGTCCAGGGTGTACCCTGCCTCTTACCCACTGTCAGCTGGGATTGGCTCCAGCCCCCCCCAAAACCCTCTTCAGGATAAGCGGCATAGATAAGGGATGGACTTCTGCAGTCTAGCGATACTTCTTTCCCTTTCTGAATGGCAAATACAGATACCGCCAACTGCTGGTGGATGACTTATTTCTGTCACGCAGATGCAGAAGGTGCATGCTCGTTGGCTGTAGGCTGTGCGGTGTGTCACTTTTTCAACCCAAATGGCCAGGGACAAAGCAGACGTGAGGCGACACAGAGGTCTGCCTTCGCTAGTTCTTACATTTAATTTTTACAGCTTCTGCGTGACTAATAAGACACCCTTGGCAGTAAATTGCAGTTTATTTTTGACTTACAAATATGTCTGAAGGGGCAGAGTTGCTTTGAAGACTGAGTGTGGATTGAGGTGTAGTTGCCAGAGCAAAAGAATCATTTTCTCTCATGTGTAACCTACTGTTAAAGCTCAGTTCTGCTTCCTGGCACGCTGAGAATGTGTCTCTATGGTTTGTTCCGCAGCAATTTGTCCCCAGGGCTGCAGGAATGGGGGAATCTGTGTGGCTCCAGGAATCTGCAGCTGTCTAGAGGGATGGCTGGGCGGTGCCTGCCATGCTGGTGAGTTCAAAACAGGCCCAAAGAACAAACATTTTTATATACATCAATGTACTTATCAGGCATGATTTCTTTTCCCTCTCTTTTGTTAAAACTCAGTTCAGTTCACTTTTGGACAGACTATGTTTTAGAAGAGAGGAGTGACATTACAGATAATCAGTGTGCCAAACAGTTACAGCTGTGGGTGTTGACTGAAGGAATTTTTTTCACCTCAGTGTTTTTCCAGACGTGACAAAACCCAGACATGGAAACACTTATCACCTCTGTGGATTAATGGTGTTAGAATGTACAAACCCCTCCAGTCACAGTTCCTCTTTCACAAATGATTAACACGTTTGCGGTTGTTTCATTTGTCTGTAGCTGTGTGTGCTCAGCCCTGCCTGAATGGAGGAAAGTGCATCTCTCCCGACAAATGCCGCTGCCGCCCCCCGTTCTCTGGCCCTCGCTGCGAGGAGAGAAAAAAGTCTCACTAGTGTGACACAGCTGAGGTCACAGGTCACTGAACCCCAGCCAGGGACTTCATTCATTTTTATAAGCTAAACATTAGTAGTTTTTACATTTTTTTTTTTTTTACCTTTTTTGGATTTTTTTTTTTTTTTTTTTTTTTTTTTTTAATCAAATCTAACCTAATGACTGTCTAAATATGTTATGTACTGGACTGTAATTTGTCATGAAATGAATAAAAGAGTTAACTGCATGTCATCAGCAAAGCTCATTTTTCTTTATTTAACAGTTTAATCTGGTGATGACAGAAATGGTTCTATAAAACAGTCCCTACACAGGACTCCAAGAGATAGTCGTCACTTTGATATGTTTGGTATCAGTGTAAATGGGAACAAAGTCCAGCTGTTAAAAACAGGCCGAATAGAACATTTTAACAAAAGGAGTAAGGAAAAATACACAAGTAGAATTTCTGTTAAACTGCAACATACTCATATTGATGTCTTCAGTCTAAAATGAGTTTTAGATGTGTACCATCTAAATCGGGCGCAATTAAGAAGCACACTTGCATTTATTTTAAGAAAAAGTGCACATCTGTTTGGTAAATGTTAGACAAGTAGAATTTGGCTGAACTGGAAAAACTAAAAGCCTGCTGGTAATAACCTACAGCTCATGGATGAATTATTATTGAAATTGATTCATTTGTCACTTATTTTACATAATACTGTGCAGCAACACTCATACATCTGTATAGTCTCTACTGGTGCATTTATCAGATGTGTGTTGCCTCGAGCTTTGAGGTAGTGATATACAGGGACAAAAAGACAAGTGCAATACATCAGGTCCCCTCCGTTAGCATTCCAATGTGCACAGGGCAAAAAAAAAAAAAACCACGCTAATATCCACCAACACACACGTACACAAACACATTCTCATACACACAGCTTATGGTGCACTCTTCTTTGCTTTGTACATTCTGTAGCTTCTTTCATCCCTTTTCCTTTATGCCAGTGATGCCTGTGAAAGTAAACAAATTCAATAAAATTTGATTTTACATACATTATTCAACATATTCAAGGTGAAGGACACCTTGATCCTTCATGTGTTATGTTTCTTGAACACACTTTTGTATTATATTCAGGTCACAGAGCTCAGCTTCCATTTCTCTGAAAAAAAAATAAGTCAGCGATGTTTGCAAAACCTAGAGGGGCGTTTAAAATAACTCGTCACTCTTTGCAAGGGATTTTAAGAATCCTCAAAAGGGCTTTTTCCATTATAGGACCCTACTGAAACGTTTTCTGTATGTTTCCACTGTGGCGCACCCATTTTGAAGGTCTGGGAGCTAAGTTCTGCCACCTCTCAGGTGGGTGTACTAAAATCAAGTTCCAGGAACATGAGGGGTAGTGGGTGTATGCGGCCAGAGCAGTCACCCCGTATTAGTCAAGTATCAGCTCCTCACACCTCAATCATTAGCATTACAAGCACTGTGTCTAAAGAGGCACTTATACAGGTTTAGAAGTAAAACAAGGACTTCAGTGACTGATGACCTCACATTTCTGTGTTCTGCTTGTTCAACAGCTGTTTGATAAACTGCTTTACCAGTCTCAGTTACTGGCTGATTGTTGCACTGTAGAGGGATCCTTCATGTTGTCTCTTCTGCAGGTTGTGCAGCCCTTCCATCCTCCAAACAGAGACCCACTCAGTGAAAACACAGTGGAAAAACAAAGCAGGACGGTTTGCATGCCATCCGCCTCATGATGAAACATATTTTTACCCCCTTTCTCAAGCTGTAGTTCTGTTGAACAATCCTCTGGGGTTTTCAGACACCACCAGGTAGGCCTATTTATCTTTCAGAGAAATGGATACTTCTCAAATGTCATGCTAATAAATGAGGCAGAAACTGTGGCAAGGAGAGCTTCAGAGCCTCATTAGCCATGCTTAGTACATTTCCCACTGATCTACACACAGTCATGTAGTGTATGGGAGCTGTGATCACACTTCTCACTTTAATTGCGCAGGTGAGACCTTTGTAGCCTTTCCGACAGTGGCAGTAGTCAGGCAGCACACACCTCCCTCCGTTCAGGCAGCGCTGTTTACAAACCGCTGAAGAGAAATTCAATATAACGGGATGTTTATTTTTAACAAATCAGGTCTTATTTTTATATTTCCTGTGATCAAATGAGAAAAATCTAAACAAAACCAAAAAAATGAGACATGATAGCAGTGTAAACACTCGTGTTTTAAATAAGTAAAAACTGTATTTTATATACATTGGTCAGTTTCTCCTGACAAACTGGAAAATAGTAAAATCTAAATTTGATTCACTAACGGTCGGTACTGTATATTTTGGCTAGAATGTACCTAAGGTGAAAAACTGAAGCATTATTGCAGGATATTAGTGTACAGCAGTTGTATCACAGCAGACTCACGCGTTTGACACTGAAGGCCTTCCCAGCCAACGGGACACTGGCAGGTGTTTGGTCCCACACACTCACCACCATTTTTACACTTTTGCAGACAGACAGCTACAGAGGGAACCAAGAGGAAGACATAGCAGTTTGCCAAATATTTCAGCACAGACCCCATCACACTGCATCCCTGACATGGACACAGCTCCAAAGAGCCTAGACAATAAAAATGTGTAACTGTCCAAATACTTACAATCTGGACTGTAAACATGTGTATTATATATTAAGGCAAAAAGGGTCAAAATGTCATTTTCTTTGACTTTCCAACTACAGTACCTCCTGTGCTGTGAGAAGACATCATATAACAACCATACTCAGTGTTAAACCTGTTCATTTGTGGGGAATGGGATGCTTTAATTTTTGGTAGCCTAATTTTCTGATTGTGTATGAATTAAAGATGGAGTCACTCACGTATGTTACACCTCCTCCCTCTCCATCCAGATGCACAGGAGCATATGTTGGGTCCTACACACTTGCCTTTGTTCATGCACACTGGCTCACACACACCTGGAACACATTTATTTACAAAGTGAATCACCATATTTTGAATTATTAGCTGCCAGTGGCATTGCTGCATTACTCCAAATAGGCCTGCATTCAGCCATACAGGCAGCGAACTTACTCTTTTGACACCTTTTTCCTGTGTAGCCTTCAGGGCAGGAGCACACATTGTTCCTCATACACTGACCTCCATTCTTACAAGGAGGACTGCACACAGCTGCAACGTACAAGAATCTTCAACTGTGAGAATATCAGGAGACACTGCGCAAATGACTAGTAGAAAAGCAGATCTTAGTTAACAGTGACCACTAAAAGAAATACTGATATTACCTCTAATCACTTAATCACTTGTGGATTTATGTCAAACAGGATGTATGAAAGTCTGAAACGTCACGCTGAAATGGAAAGAATGCAAAAGGAAAACTACACAGGCTACAGTTCTCAGTCATCCTAGCCTGATGCTCTAAGCTTGGTATTTACAAAGGGAAAAGCCCTTTAGCTAGGTCACAGCCTGTCTACTGTACCTGGACCTGACCTCTCTGTGTAGAGAGAAAGTGAACCTGCCTGCAGGAATCAGTGACCAATCACCATGCTGTTAATAAAAACAAGCCCGCAGTCCTGCAACTAATTCTTTAATATTTTTAAAAGTATGCAGACATTTTTGTGTTAAAAATGACCTGTATTTTTTAACAACATAAAAATATTGATTTTGAATTTAATTCTTAATTCAGCTGGTGAACCTCTGTGGGACACCCAGACTAATGACATTCTTGTGGGTTTTACAGTGTTTAAAGTCTGGTGGCCTACAACATTTAAAAACATGATGCTTTCAAACAGATAATTCATTTGCCAGAAAGATTGTCTTAAAAAGATGCAGTAACAATACTTAGAATCTGTTTTTATGCAACTATGGAAAGGGATCTCCATCCACCAGAAATGGACTAATTATACTGGCATTAATTTAAAAAGCCAAAATCGGCAGGTCAGTGTTCCACATTAGCCCTGATTGCCAGTGTTTTGTTGTTTAAGAAGCCACCTAAAAAAATCCTTCTTTTATTATCTAGTGGCTGAAATTGAGAAATGACCAAATTCTTCTTTCTCTGAGGCAGAACAGCAGAGCAGTAAAATGTCTCACTGTATATTAATATCACATCACAGTCATACCAATTTGACACTGAGAGCCATAGAAGCCACTGGGACAGGTACAGATGTTGGGTTTAGTGCATGTTCCTCCATTCAGACAAACAGGGTCACAGAGAGCTGTAGAGGGTACAACAACTTACAGTGAGATCTAGCATATATAATATGTGTAATCAAAGCTTTTCTTTTAAACCTACGGTATATAAAAGCTTGCACATTTTGCTGTGTCAGGTGTAGGATTTATTTTGCTGTACCTGAGTGACATGTTGGTCCGTACCAGCCAGGTTTGCATTCACAGACATCAGGAGAAACACACTCGCCTCCATTTTCACAGTGCCTGTTACACACCACTGAGACATGTAAATGATTATCACAGACAATTCAAAATGAAAGGATAAAAACTTGATGAAATGAATCTAAGGAAAATTTCAGCATCACTGAAGGTTAGACCTGATACATAACATCCACACTGCTGATTTACAGGTGAACTCTGAGATGTGTCAGCACTTGTTTCATCTCAGTGCTTCAATTTAAAATGAACAGTGACTGAGATTTAGGTGCTGATGTTCAGCTACAGGTTGGGTGAACTGTATAGCACTCATAGAACTGGTTATACATAATTCCCAAATTTGAGGACAGGGCACTAAGGCAATGTTCCAAAACATACTGTATGAGCAAGCAAAATTAGACATTTTTTATGGCCAAAGATGGGGATTTTCCTGACTGACCATGCTCGTGTGTTTTACTGCTGATGGAAAAAAGCCTCTGAAAGCAAGGGGCTACCAACTTCTGTGGTTTGTCACTGACTGCAAAAATATAAAATATGTTTACTTATAGCTGAATTTGTCCAGTTATTTTTGGTCTTCTGAAATTGGCAAATACATAGCTCTTACAAATGGCTCAACTGATTTTCATTTTAATGTTCCCAAATAAGGGAATAGTTTGACTTTGGGAAATACGCTATGATTTGTTTTCTTGCAAAAAGTTAGATGAGTGTCTGATCAGCTTAGCATAAAGACTGGAATCAGGAGGAAACAATGAGTCTTACTTTGTCCAAAGCTAAAAACAATCTGCCTACCAGCATCTGTGAAGCTTGCTAATCAACACGTTATGTGTCATTTGTTCAGTCTGTAAAACTGGCAGCCTCGCGCTGATGACAAGACTCCAGGAAGTTACTGCTCCCATCTAAAAAACAGCATGTCATTTTTACACTTTTGTTGATGTACATCAAACAAACCGTGGCATGTTAATTAGTGAACTTGGAAGACAGAATTTGGAACTGTGGTTAGCCATTATCCCTAGATTCCAGTTTGTGTGCTAAGCTAAGCTAAACAGCTGCTGGCTGAAGCTTCATATTTAGCATATAGACATGAAAGTCTTTCCAGCTTCTAATATCACAAAATGTTGAACTATTCCTTTAAAGTCAATACTTAAAACTCAGTCATTGTTTAATTTTAAATTCAATGTCCTGAATACAAAGTCAATAAAAAAAGAATGTATCACTACCACACTGTTCAGACTGCAACTTAATGTTATTTGTATTATCTCAATACAAACTGTAAACACATCACTAAGTTTTCAGTGCCATCCAGTCAAAGTACATAAACCACATCTCACTGATTTCACATCTGGGTCCCACGTAGCCATAAGGGCAGGTACACAGGTTTCTGGCCAGACAGGTGCCTCCATGCTGACAAGGTGGCTTGCAGTTTGCTACACACCAGCACAGGGTTTGAAGTAATGCAGAGGCATCAGTATTCTGTGAGTAGTGTGTTTGTGTGTGTTTGCATGATAGACAGGCATGAATGAGTACAGGTTACCTTCCTCACAGGTGGGCCCATCGTAGCCTGCAGGACATTCACAAACATTCGGTTTCACACATTTACCATGGTTCTTGCAGTCAGGCCGACACAAAGCTAAGAGGGAAGAAAAGTGGCAGCTGTGATGAACAATCAGTCACTGAGTTAAATGAGACAAACCCATAGAGCTGGTTTAACAGTAACGTGTCATGTCAGTGTGCTCCAAGGTTCAGTTTGTTGAAACCATGTGGTGTGTGTGGTGGTTCATTCCAGGGTGATGTGATATAACGAGCTTGGTCTCCAGCACAAAAAGAAACAAATCACACAATCAAAGGTAGCTTGTTCTCACCTATGTGACAGTCGTACCCGGTGTATCCTTCCTTGCAGGTGCAGGTGTTGGGCAAAGTGCACTCCATGTTCCTCCCACACTGATACCTGCACACAGCTGAAACAAATAATAGTAGGTTTACTTACAATAAATGTGCATACATACTCTGCATAGAGTCCATTGAAGTCAGCCAGTTTAATAAATTCACACAGTATTAATCAAAGACACTCTAACAAGTAATGACTTTATTAAGGCTACTGTCTTTTCAGCCTAGAGGATGTAGTGAGACTCAGAACAAACTGACACCACAGTTGTAGCGCTCTACTAACCACTCTTTGCCCCTCCCATCACATCCTGTTTCCTGGTGACAACATAAACAACAGATCCGTGGTTGGGACAAACTGTACAAAATACAGCCTCCAGTCTGAAGCTAGTGTTAGCTGACTAAAGAGTAGATGTGTCAGTCCAGTAGAACGCTCTGGTTACTGCTAATGTGACACAAAGCACCAGTGTTACACCAAGATCAAATTACTCCCAAATTAAAATCATATTAGTTCAATACAAAATGTCAGGGATTGAACAGCAAAGCAGAGGACACAGCATTTAAATTTAAAAAAAGATGGGTTTTTTTATTTACCCCAAAATAAGGAAAAAAATACAATCAACATCAATATCAAACAAACTGGGCCCTAAAACGAGGTCAACAAAAGATAAGGAAACTCAAAATACAGCAAACTGAACTGCACCTCAAAAAAAAAACAAAGAAAAAAAAGACTGACCTACCAAATGGGGAACATATATACTGGCTGGCCACTGAACAGACAGTCCACTAACAACTATTTTTCTTTAGCTGTATAAGACATAACTTGACAAATAAAGTTTTAACATAAACTACAAACAAATAACCAAATTATTTATTATTTATTTACCCTTTCTCTCTCACCTAGTACTGAATGCCATATCATTTAGGAAACTAAAATAGAATAAAACGTTTTGTAACAGTAAAATAATGACCATGATAGGTCGCTAATTTTACCAAAACAAACACGTTAGCTTTAGGTGTTAACATATCCAGAAGGAAGAACATCACATCTGAATCAAATCTGAGTCCTTTGGTTGCTTTTAACCCTCTTTCTTTGCAAAAGAATGCAGCTCTCACAAAATGACATAATCACAGGCCCAAAGATGTTTTTGTCTCACACTGTGGGCATGTTACTTGCCTTTTTACATACATAGTGAACGGTTCTCTTCCTTTTAACCTAAGCAAACATACAGCAGATAATACTAATAGCAAATTTTCGCCTGGCACTGCCTCTTTGTGCTGGCCAACATATTCCTGTACCATTACTCAACATCCACTGTTGTGAAGGAATCATAAGACTCACTACCTTTACATGTGACTCCATCCCCAGTGTAGCCAAATGGGCAGCGTCCACAGCTAAAGGACCCGGTTTCAGTTGGTTCACAGGGAACATCAGGGAAGCAAGGAGAGTCAGCACAGGTCACATGGTCAGATGGTGACCCCAATTTGACCCTGGTGGTGAGGTGCGGGGTCAGCTCCACACCACTGGGTTGACCTCTATAGACAGTTGGGGGAAAGACTCTGGTTGCAGTTTGATTCAGTGGGGTTGCTATGATCTTTCTGTCAATGGAAGAAACTCTCCTGATAGTCGAGAAGGTGGCGTCCGGTCTAGTCATCCTGTCAGGGGGTCGTCTGGGTGAGGTGAGAGACAACGAAGACGAGGAGGAGATGGGGGTCATTTTCTTGATGGAATTTGATTTCGTGATGGGAATATCTGCTCCCTGACCTGTAAGACACTGCAAGTTAGAGGACATGACAAAAAACAATTATATTGACTATAACATTTCATAGCTGCACATTCCAGCGTATTCCACCCAGCATGTAACATGGTCACTGTTGTCCTTTCACCACCATCAGTGTCAAATTAAAAGCACTGCTTCACTCTCACCTGTTGCTGTGCATGTTTGTCCATTTCCATGGAGACCTGGAGGGCAAGGCCCACAGACAAAGCCTGCAGAGATATGGATGCTCTCAAAACAATGAACCCCCGGGTGACACGGCCTCCTGCTGCACGGGGAAGGGCCAGGGGGTCTGGGCCTCAGTGCATCCTGCAGTACTCTTGGTGGTGTGGTCACTGCTTTGACCAAAGAGTCATGGTTACCTTCGAAACAAAAGGATGAGAGTAATCTTTGACTATATGACAAGAAGTTTCTTATTTATGCAGAAATTCCAGGGATAGAACAACACAGATGTAAAACAGCAGAAATCAGAATAAATGAGCCAACACACTACATCCTTGAGGTTGATGGTTCTAGTGTTTTATGAGATTGTTACAATCATAACAAAAATACAGAATATTGACAACCCTATCCTGAAATAAATCAAACTCTTGATTCTTCAAATAAACTCTGAGGTAGAGGACTTACGAGTGCAGCTTTTTCCATCACCGCTGTATCCTTGTGGGCAGACTCCACAGATGAAGGAGCCCAGTGTGTTGTTACAGCCCGTTCCAGGGAAACAAGGCTGAGAGACGCACTCATCTATATCTTCTCTACATGTTTGGCCTGAAAACACATGAAGCGCCAAGAAACAGCAAGTGGAAATACTCCACAACTCCAAATATTACCAGTCAGTCAAGTGAAGGACAAAGTTTTTTCAAGGAAAATTTGTTGTTCTTTAACAAAAGTCAGAGATTTGGCCACCTTTGCTGTCAGTGATAATAACGTTGACAAGGATGCAACAGCACGGATAGAGTAACCACTGCTTTCATCATACACGGTGCCTCATTTGGTGAGCTGTACCAGTAAAACAGTCCAGAAATGTTGGTTGTAATAAACTGCTCCAGTCTAAAACCCTTAAATAGAACGACAATCAGCACAGCAGGTGAAAGCTGTACAAGGAGATCATGTGAGATCCAATAGACAAATTCTTGTTTACTTTCACTTTACTTACAAATTAGTGGTTAAGACAACATGTTAATATTAAAATTCATCATTGTATACAAGTTGTCTGTTCAGGGGAGTCCTGGCGTCCAGCACCTGGTGTTTGTTGCCTTCAATTCCCCCTAGGTCCCTCTCCTTGTTTCCTGGCCTCTCTCTATTGTTGACTTTCCAATAAAGGCACAAAATGCTAAAAAAAACAACAACTAAAAACTCTGGTTACCCCAGAGGTAGCCAGAGGTGGGAATAAGTCAGACTTGTGCAAGCCACAAGCAAGTCTCAAGTATTAGCCTTCAAGTCTCAAGTAAGTTCCAAGTATTGTAGTGAGAATCAAGCAAGTCAAGTCGAGTTCCTACTACAAGTCAAGCAAGTCACAAAATTCTGATCTAATAGATAATATAAACTAACCCTTAGCTATTAAATTAAAAAAAGACAAGCCTTTCATGACTATCAGAAACTTTTCTCAACAAAATGCATAATCAACTCGAAGCCAAGGCCAACAGCTGAAACTTAACCTTATCTTTCTAGATATCATTTGAACAGCAAATAAGTTAGTTAAGCTAACATATACACAGCACACCTTTGAAAAAAGCATCTAGCAGTCATTTCTAAGCACTGCCTCTGGTCAGCAAATGGACCAGAACTGGGAGGAATTATGACCATATCATCAAAAAAGATCCAGTTACTATAGTAACTAGCCACCAATAAGGTTATGAACACTTAATGCTCCTTCAGCATGCAGCTCTGCAGAAAAGGAATCTACCACATGAAGACACCGAGCTTTGCTCTCTGTTTGCTCTGCCGGTTAATCTCTACCTGTCATTCCAGGCGGGCAGATACAGAAGAAGGAGTTGGGGCCATCAATACAGCGGCCCAGTCTGCAGGGGTTGGGTTTACAGTCATCAATGTCCACCTCACACTGCTCCCCTTTAAATCCATCAGGACATACACACAGGTATTCCCCACTGCCAGCAGGGAGGTTGACATTGGTTACACAGGAAGCTCCATTCAAACAGTCACAGGAACGCACGGACAGCTGGAACAAAAACACAGAAAAAGCACAACTTTAGTCCGATTTGTCACCTGAACTATGATTATCCAGGGTTGTAACCTGAAAACTGCTTTGACAGAAGAATTTAATTTATGTTTCTGACTTTAAATTTTCCTTATTCCACAATAATTCTTGGAGGAGATACTGGGGGACAGTTTCACATGTAAGAAAGAGGACGGCAACACCTGTTGCACAGCATACAAAAACAAAGAGAAGACGAATTGTTAAGTAAATGAATAAATACATAAACAAATATACAAATAAGCAAAAAAAAGCACATACTGCTAAATATTTAATAGTTTGAAGGAGCCAATGTTATTTTCAACAGCAAAATTAGTTAACTCTGATATTTTCAGTTGTGAATATTTTTAATCCCATAGTGTGCTTTAATGAATTAGTCTATCCGTGTCAAAACTAGGACACATCCAGGGGCAGCATACATATTCAAGCTTTTCATAGAATACTTAAATGTAGTCTTCCCAGTCTGTAGTATATAAGAAGTCAGGGTACTTTACGGCTTTGTAATATCTGGAAATAGTACAAAATATGCATAGTAATGCATGCCGTTAATCCAGCTGCAACTTTAAATTGCCACTGCTAAAAAAAAGAAAGAAGATGTTTTTCCTCTAAAGCGTAAATACCCCCTTTCCCCTGGAGCTGTTTTACCAACATCCACACTTTGAATATCTGCAGCTGCGAGTAGCTCCTGTCTTTCCTGTGTGCACTGAACTGTGATACAGTGCTGTCCACCAACACCAAACAAAAAGTCAAGCATGGGTTTTTAACAGTGTGTAGCAGAAAACTACCCTAACGCCATCTAGTGGAAGGAAGCAGTTAAGACTTGACCAGAGGTTTGTTACTTGTGGAGCCCCCCAAGAATTTACTGACCTGCCATAACCGACACTTGGTGAGGTGAGGTGCTGCTGAATATGTACTGAAACCCTACTGCTGCAGTGGAGCTTCTCAGTGATTGTGGCAGTACAACATAGATTTACGGAAAACAAACTCATCCTGGGTATACTATGCATTTTAACCAGAAGAAATGTTTTAGGCTCTTAAAGTTGCAAGGAACAGCATCTCACAATGTCGCCTTCACTTACTGTATATTTTTTTAAATGCTTAAATGTTGGAATGATTTATAATGTTTGATTAAATAATATCAATTTATACACTGTCACATGTATCACACTATTTGCCGCACCTGTTGAAATGATCAGAAAATAAAAAGCTGTGGATTGCTGCAAATAAAATTGAATGAAATAATATTGTAAATAATACTGTACTGATTTTTCTTCACTTTCCAAACATATTAAATACACACAAAAACTTCAAAACAGAGACAAAACAAACCAACCCGGCCTTACCTCTACTGAGGCTCTGGTCTCAGCGTCACAGTCGTCTGTCACAGAAAACTGGAAAACGTGTGTATCTCTGGCTTCAGCAGTGGCCTTCCACATCAGCAGGCCAGCTGGAGACAGAGTCGCACCCTCAGGACCTGATATCAGGGTGAAGAGAACTGCAGAGCCCTCCCTGTCCTGAGCTTGTAGCTGGTAAATAAAATTCTCCCCCTGGAAGGCTTGGACACGAAATGGCAGCGACTGCACAACCGGGGGTTCGTTTTCTGATAGCAAATACAAAGGAGGGGAAAGTAAGCGACTGAATAAACCTATAATACAGACGATATGTGCTGAGTGACAGACTGGTTGAAAAGCTGAGATGCAGAGGTATCTAAAATAACTAAAACTAGACAGCTATGTAAAAATGTGTTCACGCTGAATGATTTAATTCCAGAGAAATCATGTGACATAAAGCAAACTCTAATTAGAACAAAATGGCCACAGTATAACACAGACAAGCAGAACAAATCTGAGTTATGCTCTTCTGCATTTGTTATAAACAAAAAACACATACGGTACATTTTAACATCAAAATTCTGCCTAATAAATGTTTTAATACAATCTTATCAATACTTACTTTGATATTTATTATAGTTCCACATTTTTATAACAGCTCTGTTTTCTTTATCACCACCATTTATTGAGTATTATTCTTCTAATCTCAACTACTATATTTTTGTGCCACATTGGTTGTTGTTGTTTAGAGTTTTTATTGGTATTATTTTGGGAGCAAATTTGGCTTTTTTCAAAAAAGACAGCAAAGAACATGATATGAGAGTATATCGTATGGTACCCTGCTTTCCTTAACCCCAATTCTATTTCCAGTGATATTAACAATTTATAATGAACTGTATTTGCTGTTAGTGTTTGTTTCTGTTTTTCAGCTGTCCCACTCAGTATACTGTATATCTTGCTCAGAATTCACACAGGGGAATAAAGTTGGTATTTGTTAATTATTAATATTAAAGAAATCATTGTTGTTGAAAATTGTTGTTTTCATATATGTGATAACTCTCAAATATCAGTATATTGTATGTCAGGTTCTACCTTTCAATGTATAAATGAATGATTGGATACATGCATGATCAGATGAGTGCCCACAGCCTTTATCACAGTCGCTATTTTGCCCTCTAACTCCTCTCAAGTTAATACAACATACTACATTGTGTCATGTCGTTTAAATAGAGCAGAGCACAGTCTGACCTACTTTAAGAAGAAGAAGTAAACTTGGTCAGAGAGGGTAACACTGAGGTAAGCTTATATCAGTGCCGGGGGACTGAAGCTACTTCACTTGCTCCAATCTGTGCAGAGCTGCCAGTAAATGATCAAAACATCCCTGAGCGACTATCAGCCTCAACACTCAGTGATGGCTATCCAACCTCAGCTCTACTCAGGAAGCAACACAATGAAACTTTGCCAGTCTCACACTGTATAATTCAGACTTTTGTGTTGATGAGAATGAACAAGCTGAGACAAATGTTGACATTTTTGTGAACATACTTTCTGCTATGGACCATGTGTGTTTGGAGGAGTCTGGGCGGCATGTGAGGCAAGGACTGCTGGGATTGGACTCTCCTTCACTGTAACACACACCGTCAATGATGCAGCTTTTCTCCTGGGAAACAAAGACACATCATTACCAAACAAGAAACAATTAGTTCAGTGTTTATTTCTCTCTGTCATTCATGACATGAAACATGCTCTTTGGTAGCCACAAAAAATCCAACACCGACCTACTTCAGTGAGCTGGGTTTATCAGTGAGGTTTATCGTTTAGAGAACACGGCACCAAGAGGACACGGTCAGCATTGTTTAAAACACAAGAGGACAAATGTGTTTCCTGTGTTTAAGATCTCTCACATATTCAACAAGACAAGCAGTACTATTTACAGCTGCATAATGAATGTTCACTCTCCTGCAGAAAAAAATATATATGTAAAGAGAGAGAGAGAGAGAGAGCAGGAAAGAAAATATACATACACACACATCTATAAGATATAAGAGTTGAATTCAGAAACACTGACCACATTAATATCATTCTATATAAATAATAAATCTGTTAATAAATCTTTTTTTCTCAAATCATTACAGACTATTTAATGCAATGACTGAAACTAATTTCTTTACAATGTGCCTCAACATATTTTTTCACTTAAGTTACATATCCTGCAACAAACTTCCACCTTTCTGTTGGAAGTTTCTCTTAAATTCAGTCAAACGCTTGTTTGACACTCACTCACACAAAAACACAGTTAAATGTTTTTGGTAGAAAGATACTTTTAACTGTTACTTCATTTCAGCAGTAGATGTACTAGCATACTTTAGGGGTGGACAAAACCCAAGGGAAATAATGCATACAATACTGCTTGTTCTTGATCCATATATTTAATTAAAACTCAGTATCAAGAAAAAGGTCTTACCCTCAGTGCACAGAAAACTTCAGTGTTGAGGCTACAGATATGACAGGCTCCATCGTACAGAGTCAGAATCTTGGTGTTGCTGTAGCTGTAGCCATCATTGGACACCTGCCATCAGAAGGGGGAAAACGTTTTAAACAAACTGAACATGGTCCAACTGCATTCACTCACACTGGGTCATTTTCAACTACTCAAATGTTTAAAAGAAGTAATATATGTATATATAGTAAAAGCATTATAAACTGAAAGTGCTGTGATCCTGGAAAGGACCTCCTCAGTGAATGTTCTCACCAACCCTAACTACTGTGTATTCCACATATTCCCACACTTTACTGTCTCACACTGTCTCACACTGCTGAGTCTAAAGCTGGCCGAAACTGCAGATAACCTCCAGCTGCAGTCTCAGGACCCTGTCTACATCCTTAGCCAACAAATACAAACTAGAAAACTTTCACATCTGTCTGCTTAGATTTACTCCAGTGCCGATTTATTGTGGGTTAATTCTGACATTACTATAGAGCCTGCAAAATAAGAGCAGAGTTCTTTATTGAGTTTTGAGGATTTGAGGATCAGATAGTAGCGTGGACTAGAAAAGAGCAAAAAAGCAAGAGAGAAATCTAAGAGAAAGAGACCAGGATCAATTCGGTGGTTTGATGGTTTTACAATAGTTGCACCAGTGTGCATTGTGGAAATGGCTGAAGATGTGACTAACTTTGATTTGGTAGCGGGCCAGTGGTCTGTCTGTTGCTGTTTCCAGGGCCAGGCCTGCAGAAGCCTGGCTATCCTCTAGGGGGAGCTGACACTCCAGAGCAGTCACATCCAGAAAGGTGGCCAGGACAAACAGGGGCTCATCCAGAATCCACTCCCCATCCACAAACTTTACAAGAAACACAGGGTGGGTGGGTGGATATGACATTAGAGATGAGAGCAGGGAAGGCAGGA